CCCCAAAACCCCAAAACCCCAAAACCCCAAAACCCCTTTCAAACTACTTAACATTGAAATTAATTTTCTTCATAAACAGACCATTTTGAATTTTTCTGTTTCAGTGTAAATCCAGACTGAGTTCCATAGAAAATTCTGATTTCATCTTTTGTGTAAGGTTCTAAAATTGACATTAATAATTACTCTTTGGTGAAAATAGTTGTTGGGTTCTTCTTTTCTTTGAACTATAATAAAATTTAAACATGGACACATTGTGGTCTAATCTAAATGATTATTGAGGGGAATCAATACGGTTCCATATAGTTTTTGTTGCCTATATCTTCTCAATTTAAAGCTTCAAATCTCTCCCTTTAAATCAAATTTGCATTTTAAGTGAAATTAGATAGGAGGTATTTATTTTCTTATATCAAATTATAGGAAAACCTAATTCTTTGATAAAAAAGTATCCGACACGATTCGGGAGCTCATAATTTCTTGTGTATTGGATCAATTAATAATAGTGAATAAATATCTTGTGTTAAACCAATCCTGAATGGCTATATATACATTTATTGACATAATAAAGTATCTTTAATGTTTTTCTTAATAATTCGAGGTTAAATAATAGTGATTTAATATCAGGAGTATGTCTTCAAACAGAATGGGATAAATCTTAGAATAAAATACCTTCTGGAGTCTAAATGATTTAAACCCGCTCTTTCTTGTGACTTTTGAGCCTGATATAAAGCTGTTTTTGGTCTATTTTTTGTCACAGATGTAATCATTGTTGCTGTTTCTGAATTGAATGTTGAAACTTTGGGGTTGATCTTCATTTTTCTTAACTTCTCATCCTTTACTTTAATTTTATCTTTAATAGAATTATAGGCGTAAGGAACTTTTACTGCTTTATTGATATCTATAGTGCTATTTCCTATATGATACCAGATTTATTGTTACCTTGAAGATTGGACAGTGTTGAAGATTGGTGAGCAGATCTTTGAATACTCGAATTTCTAAACAAACCTATCCAAATTCTTGCCTAAGTATTAGTAACCAAAATACTCTGCTTAAATTTGTTGTTCAATTTCACCGGATGAGTGCTAGGTCTGCATAAAAGTGTTTAATTTAGTCTTTCTTTTCGAGTTTATCATATTCTTGTTGGGCACTGATTTCCTTCGAGATTGCACTCTAGTTATCCTGTTTACTCTTTTGGAAGAATCTCTCTTTATTTCTCCAAGAATTTTGTTTTTAATTATTCTTGCTTTCTGAGTTCGGGGTTCTCTGAGAAACTTGTATGCTAAGAATTAGCTGACTAGAATTACTCTTATCCAGACTGTTTTTGATAACTGAAATTTTCAATTTAAGTGAAGCTATCTTTTTCTTTTCACTTTTAACGGTATGCAGACTCGATTCTCTCTTATTTCTCTACAAATATGAGCATATAAGGGTATTACTATTGGAGTTGAGGGTGAATATTCAGTATAACTTTCTTTGAAATTAGGGTTGGAATCATATCCTCCTTGATAAATAAAATCCTTGCAAGACTTGTTGTCCATTTGCTTCATATGATACACTGGATTGTAAGTTTCTTTGGTTCTGTGATATTTTGGGATAAGGAATATTTTCACTCCTTTGTTTTGGATATCTTTAAACGGAAAATTAAATATGGTTTAAAAACTAAATCCAGCTTTGAGAAAAGTTTACCTGGCCTTAACATTTTTAAACTCGAAGGAGACTCCTTTAATTTTTGAATTCTATCCTCTGAATGAGCTGCTAAAAATAGAAATTCATGTGGATGGAGTCCATCTTTAGGCTTTTGAGGTCGATCCTTGATTCAATCATCTGTATATTTATACCCAGTAAGAAGAGGTTCTTCTTCAATTTTATTAAGTTCTTTATCCTGGAAGTACTGTTTTATCCATTTCAAGATAGATTTCTTGCTCATTGATTTGCCCATAATTCTGAGTGAATCATCAATAACATCTGGGTCAAGTGGGATCCAGTCTTTGTCTATGATCCTGGTAGTATACAAATATGATTTAATGGATTCCCTTATTTGCATTCTATTCATCAAACCCTTAATTAATAATTTGTATCGATGCTTTTATCAGCTGGATATTTCAGCTTCCAGAAATTCGGTTCATAGCTAGCGGAAAGGTAGCAATCTTTCCAATAGGAGGGCAATATTCTACCAGTAACAGACAGAAAATTACCTAAAGCTTTATATACAGTTTCTAAAGGAATTTTAGTAAAGTCTGTAACTCCATATTCTTGTTTCAGAATCTTTTCGAAAGGATCCGAATACATGGAATGCTCTAAAAGTGATTGGAGAATTACCTAGCATTCAGGCTTCATACATGATATCTTTGATCTCTTGGAAGCTTATATGGGTCATTTTATTTTCAATATTATTATTTATAAAGGGGTTTTGGGGTTTTGGGGTTTTGGGG